TCTCTCTCTCTCTCTCTCTCTCTTCTCTCTCTCTCTCTCTCTCTCTTCTCTCTCTCTCTCTCTCTCTCTCTCTCCTCCCTCTCCCTCTCGGTCTCTTCTCTCTCTTCTCTCTCTCTCTCTTCTCTCTCTCCTCTCTCTTTTTCTCTCTCTCTTTCTCTCTCTCTTTCTCTCTCTCTCTCTCTCTCTCTCTCTCTCTCTCTCTCTCTCTCTCTCTCTCTCTCTCTCTCTCTCTCTCTCTCTCTCTCTCTCTCTCTCTCTCTCTCTCTCTCTCTCTCTCTCTCTCCCTCCCTCCCTCCTCCCCTCCCTCCTCTCCCCTCCCTCCCTCTTTCTCCCTCCCTCCCTCTCTGTCTCCCGCCTTCCCCCCCCCTTTTCTCCCTCCTCCCTTCATCTCCCTCCTCCTACCCATCCATCTCTCCATCTCTCAATGTACCCCTCAATGTATTACCTCCTCTCTCGGGTTCTCTCTCACTCTCTTTTGTATTTGTATAGATAGAAGTGCCGAGCAGACGGGCAGGTGTGAAGGTAGAGAGGCAGACAGATATAATAACAAATAATTGGGGCAGAGAAATCATTAGTAGACTCCTCGTTCCAACAGACACAATTAGCCAGACAATCATCCAGACTTGCCTGCCTCACCCATCACCGCCACGACCGCGGTTGTCACCTGCGCGGCTGTAAATTATAACGATCCAATTTCTTTCATTGGGGGGCAATTCGCCGTCTGCCTCCCCTGCCAGAGGAGGAAATTAAAAAAAAAAGGGCGGTTACCGTAAATCGCGCACATGGCGAGAAGCAGCGGACGCAAAGTGATCGCGTATTTTTAACGATGGCGGATTCAGGGGGCGGGGAATTTGAATGGGTTTTGCCGGTTCGCGATGATGAGGTTGTGGTCTAACGATGGGATTTGAGAGAGAGAGAAAGAGAAGAAGAAGAAGAAGAAGAAGAGAGAGAGAGAGAGAGAGAGAGAGAGAGAGAGAGAGAAGAGAGAGAGAGAGAGAGAGAGAGAGAGAGAGAGAGAGAGAGAGAGAGAGTATGGCGGAGGGAAAGATGAAAGAGGGATAAAAGAAACATGCGAGAGGTAGGAATGATAGGTGAAAGAGGGAGAGGAAAGGAAAAGAAGGGAGAGGAAAGGAAAGACAAAAGAGAGGGGAACAGGAAAGCTGAGGGAGGGAGGATAGGGCGAGAATAGACAAGAGAGAGGGAGAGGGGAGAAGGGAATGTAGGTAGAGAAAGAGAGAGACCGGCCGAAAGTGAGAAAGGAAAAAGAAATTCGAGAGTCAAAAGACCGAAGTGGTACGGGAGAAAGAGAACACAACGAAAAGGAAATTGGTAAGAGTGTAGCAACCAGCGGAAGCGAGTCCTGCCTGAGTACTTGCTCGAGGGAAAACAGCTGGATGAACTTTTAGCAGCTAGGAAAAAGAACATGCGTACTACCGGTACATATGTAGATAGGTACAAAAAAAAAACGGATAAATTGCTTTGCCTACGTATGTTGCGTGGTTTGTGTGTGTGTGTGTGTTTGTGTTGTATTATGTATGTATGTATGTTTTATGTGTGTGTGTGTATGTTGTGTGTATGTGTGTGTTGTGTGTTGTGTGTGTGTGTGTGTGTGTGTGTGTGTGTGTGTGTGTGTGTGTATGTGCGCACGTCCGTGCGTGTGCGTATGTGTGTGTGGTGTCTGTGCCTCTGTGCGTATTCGCAGACGTTAATTCTGATAATTAGTGGCTTAGATCTACAATTTAGATGTAATCATTAAGCTTAGAATTAAGTTAAAGACACATCAGCAACCTTTCAGCAGAACGAGATAGGCCCCTCGGTCGAGGAACACCAAGAGGCCAGGCCACGAGAGAGTAGAGAAATGAGTGATAGACAAAGAAAGATCATAATAGACTCGCGAGCGCAGTTGAGTCAGCGTTCGCGAAGGATTCAAGGATTATTCGCAGTCACGTGTTCATCTGTTTACAAGAGCCTTGCCTCATGCCGTCACCTGGCGCGGTTTTTGTCATTTCACCGTGACATCCTACCGTGGGTTACCTGTTGGGGAGCGGAAAGAAGGAATGTTTAGGAGAAGGAGTATTGTGTGACACTTTCTTTTTTTCAAATAGGCTTGATTATGTGTATTTCGTAAGGCGGATATACTTAGGATATGACGTCACGAGTGAGTTATCTTGAGGTGAGCCGTGACGTCACCAACCCACCCCCTCTATCTTATCCCTCCTCGTCCCCTTCGCTCCTCCCAACCGTTTCAAATAGTTGTGGCATGAATAATAGCGTTATCAGCTCTGAGAACGAACACACCTTTCGGTGAGACAAAGATATTTTGTTGTCATCTCCCACGGTAGCTGTTGAATGTTTTGTTATCTCAGTTTTGTCTTTTGTAAGATAATGATTGCAGTAGAAAATATCCGACGGCGAATTGAAAATATATCAACCTCTTAATGGCGGCGCCCCTGAACTCTACATCATTGCTAATGTTACAGGCGACCGGATGGTATTTCGAGAGAGAGGGAGAAAGTGCGCTAATGGTCGCTGGTGATTAAGGCCCCAGATACTTAACTGCTGGTCCGTAGGCCTTGATTCACAACTGAGACTGCACTCGCAACACAGATTTTGCAACCGGTCTCGTGTAGAGTAATCTCGCGTCGTTAGCTTGCAAGGCCTCAATTCTTTCTGCGGTTAGTCGACGAGGCAGGAACCCCATCCGCAAGCTGACGTAATACAGTTGTTAATAACTTTTTAGTCTTGAGATATTACCATGAGCTGGGATACACTCCGCTGGTGTGCGCACGCACATCATGTGGAAAGTGAACCTGAAGAAGACGGTCAAATACACTCAGGCACGTGGTATGACTGCGCATACAATTTGTCTGCAATATCCTCCAGATCAGATCTTATATTGACTTCATGAACAGAAAGAAAATAGATGGGTTGACGGACCGACAAGTGCAGACACACATGAAGATGCATTGATATCAGACTTAGAAAAAGGATGAGCAGTAAAGCAAACAAGGTATTGAGCAATGGGGAAGACGGGAAGCATGTAGTAAGAGTAAGAAAGATGGAACAAAATACTTTTTTCGAAGTAGATAGTTATAGAGCCTGGTAGATAGACAAATATGTAGGTAAATACAGATTGGTAGTTTTATAGAGAGTGATGTGTCCAGGCAGACAGATAGACAGAGATTAAGAGGACAGATATATAGAAAGAGAGATTTATCGAAAGAGAACTAAAACAAGCACATCTGAATGCCAGGATACAAATTCAGTGAAAATGCACGAGTATGCATTCGGGGATCCAGCATGACACGGCGGCATCTCAAGGTCAGCGGGGCGACGAGCCAAAAATCGAGGTGCATCTCCCTCCTACCGACGAACGGTCTGGCGGTCGCGCATCGTCTGGAGAGCGGAAGTTGAAGCTCTCCGTCCCGAAGATCGCGAGCAACGCCTCTCCGGTCACCGCCGGCGTGTCGGAAGGGCGTGCGCTCATTCCCGGAGGCACACTTCGCTGGCGGGTGATCGCTCCATGCTCTAAAAGACACGTGGTTTTTGGGGATCGGGTTATTGGATGGCGGGCGTGAGGGCGGGAAGGGGGCAGAATGGGAGGAAGTGTGTGAGGACGAAGGAGGTAGGGGAACGAGAGTGGGGAGAGGGGTATGGGAAACAATGGTAAAATGAGAGGGATTTAGGGAGGGCGAAGAAGATATGTGAACAAGAGGGTATAGAATAGTATGGGAGAAATTGGGTAAAATGAGAGGGAAAGAGGGAGGATGAAGAAGATACTGGGAATGAGAGAGTATATAAAGTTATAGGAGATAGGGGTAAAATGCGAGGGAGGCCGAAGGAGGTATGGGAACAAGAGGGGGAAGAGAGGTGTAAGAGGAGGGGAAATGTGTGAGGGAAACAGGGGTGTGTGAGAGAGAGTAGGAGAAGAGAGAGGAAAGGAAGGGAGAAAGAGATATGGGAAAAATAGACTAAAAGAAAAGGAGGGACGGACAGAATTAGAATGGGAGATGGACATTTATGGGAGAGGAAAGGGAAAATATTGACACTAGAGAGGGTAATAGGGAGAACAAAATAGGGTTTCTGTGTTGTAAGTGGGAGATAGAACAGGAATATGAAAGATGGCACATAAGGAAGGAATGATTAGAATATAAAAATAATTGATTTATGAGGATGGTAGGTGCTGGGTCATTAAGGAAGGATAATGATAGAAAGCTTCTCTGATGTAAGAAACAATGTTGGAAGAAAAAGACCATTAAAGATAATTACAGGAAGACTGACAGAATTGGCTCAGGTATGTTTATCATTTGAAAGTATCTATTTGCCTCGAGGAATATCAGGAAAAAGAATATCCCTTATCCGACAATGTAGTTTTTAAGGATAATTCTGCTGAAGAAAATTCTACTTTTGGCTTTTGTTTTACCTTACCTTATTTTCAGAGTTTTCAGTGATACCCTACTATGTGAACATGTTAGAGGGTTTTATCTTATATGATATTATAGTGAAGCTATCTTGGTCAGTGTAATGCAGGTGTTAATTTGCATCCTTGTGACCTTGTGGTGTATTTGCATATACTTCCTACTCCTTTTTCTTTAACATGAATTCTGACTCATGATATGGAAATCTGAACATTTAGTTCTTACAATATAACACGGATTGTAATCAGATTTAGCGGATTTAACAAATAATGTTGTAATCAGATGTATGTAGTCTTATCTTTATACATAGGTTTTCCTTCTATATAGTTTTATGAGACATATGGCAGGTACCTTTTACAACAAAGGAGAGTTCAAGGATTATAGTGTGCCAAGTGGATTAGATAAAACTTGGTAAAGAAGCTGAGACACATTTGAAAAACCTCCACAGGTTAGCTTTATGGGTAGCTTAAAAAATGGTTCATTATGAATCTGTTTAAGGTCCTTTGTAAAAAAAAAAAAAAAAAAAAAAAAACTGTTCATACAGAAAATGGACAAGCCTTTTGTTAGCTATCAATTGCTATTGTAAGGAAATTATATAGTAATGCTTAGAAGTAATAAACTTATACATATTACGTGCTAACATTCTGTACGTGTTTGTAATTTTATGTTTTGATGTTTTCAGAGCTATTCCATCACATGGGAACACAGCTTCATTAAAACTTACAGTATTTCATCGCAATGCCCTTGGGCTTGATGAATTTTTGGGACAGATTGAGCTTCCCCTTAGTGAGTTTGATGTGTATGAAAGACCCAGGAATAGGTAAGGCTTTAAAATTTGATACCAAGATTTGATTACTCAATATAGCTTATCTTTATTCATTATTTTATAAAAACAACAACAACAGTATAATGGTATTAATTGACCAACTGGATAAAACGCAACTCCATGTTATATGAGATCACAGCACCACACTATATAAATTTAGAAATGATTTTCTAATTTTTTTCATACTAGATGGCATCGATTGAAAGGAAAACCAGAGAAAGACCGCAAAAAGGGAGAAAAAGAAAGGGGAGACCTCGAAGTTAGGGTTGCGTTCACAGTAAAATCTGGATCACTTCTGGATGTATCCAACAAAACAAGTAAAAATAAATCCATAACATCTTTAAAGAACCTAGGTAAGTACTAAGTCCATGTGTTTGTCATTCATGTAGTGCATGTGTGATGATGTGTTGATGTTAATTAATATGTAAATAGAAGAATTACTAATTTGATATTGCTCATTTTTACAGGGAGTATCATGTTCTTCAAATTGTTTTACAACAGTAGTGGTCCCTAATGTGTCTTTTTTTTTTATTCCAGGTGGTAGCTTAATGAGTTTAGGCAGCAAAGAAAAAGCAAGCTTAAAGAATTTTGCCAAGTCAGTCAGTAAGTTTAAATTGCAATCTTTGCATTATACATTTCATTTTATAGTACACATAGTGAAAAGATACATGTAGAAAAGTATTGGATTGTTTACCTTTGCTAAATGGTTAGATATTCTTTGAGCATTTTGTATTTTGGAAGTATTCTTGCACAGATACTGAATGTCTATGGGATATCATCATTACAGGTCATAAAATAGACAAGGTTGCACACAAGCCAGGCAAAAAGAAGAGTCGTAAAGAGAGTCGAGACAGCCAAGGCTTCCCTCAGGAGTTAATGCAGTCGCGGCAGCATGCAGGAGAAGCAGATCCAGGTGTTATATCTGATAGTGATGATGAAGGATTTGGGGTATGTAGTTCATGCTGAGGGTATAATTGTACAATAGAAGTCAAGGGAAGAACTATCTGATATTTGCAGGAAGAAAGTGTACAGTAACATACTACTAGAATTTATAAGTGGCTTTGTTCCTTGTTAAAAAGATACAAGAAAATATATCATACTATAGTATATGTATTTATCGCAGAGCTTATGAGTTTGTCTGTTTTGTGTTTTTGTTTTAGTGTGTTTTTCATGTGCATTGCATTTTGTGTGGATAAAACGTTTGCTACGTGTAAATTCAGTCACTTGTAATTTAATGATGACTGATTTGCCAGCATAATAGATAAAACTGAAAGCATCAAGAAAAGATTTGTAAATAATTTTGATGTAAAAGGGATATAAAAGAGAGGAAGACTGCACCAACCTATTTGTTTCTGCCATTATCATCTATTTCTAGAACTAGCTCCCATGACTCTGGAAGGTTATTTATGATTCCATTATTTGGAATTTTCCTTGCAGTTTGATGAAGAAGTTACAGTTAACACTCGCTCCAGTAGCCCTTACAGCACCATATCCAGAGGTTCTTCTCTCCTTCAGGAGTCTCATGGTAGGTATTGTAGTGTATGATAACATAATGATTTTTAATGATGTTAATTATTTTTCAAAAACATTATAACAAATTATTACTGGTTTTAGATAATGTAAAAAATGTCACGTACTGCAACATGAATTAACTAGATCATTGCCATTTATTATATAACGAGGAAAGATCATCCTGCCATGTACTGACCCATAGTTTTGCATGTATTTTCTGTTTGAAAACATATTTTCCCATATGTAGATTTCCCCTGTAAACAGCGAACATTAGGGCCTCTAAAATGTCTACAGGTTGCTTGTGACTAAATCCCTAATATCAAGACATTGTATTCTATACCATTATATGTGTGATACTTCTCCTCTTTAAAGCAGTCCTTGTCTTGCAGAAGATGAAGCCCTGCGCCATAACAGCCACAACCTGTCCATCCCAGAAACAAGGCCACCTCCAAAACCAGCTCGTCTTGGAGGTAAGTCCCTCTTTACTTCTTTCTTGATATCTGTCATTCTTTTTCCAGGAATATTTATTCATGTGCTCAGATTTTTTTTTTCTTTTAAGGATGAGAGATAGAAATAAAGTAATTTAGATTTATGGTGCATTGTTAATAGAATGACATTGGATGGTTATAATTTCAGCCGTGAACCCTTCAAGAGCAATTTTTCATTTAAAATGAATTGGCAATTGTATTTTTCATGTTCTGTTTTAGTTTCTGGTGAAGAAATTTCTTATTTTTGTATAGATGTGTTTGTTTATTTGTGCTGTGTGTATTATTTATGCTTATGTAAATCTAACATGTACTGTCTTAAGCTTTAAACCATAAGTGACAAATATTATAAGTAGTGCCATGTTCATATGTCTCAATAATGTACCATAGAGAGATATATATGTGACCTGTCTCTTTAGTACTACTCCCGTAAAGCTTATTTGTGGCTGCTCTTTTGTTTAGATGATGGTTCCTGTATTCCAGTATTATGGTTTTAGTCATGCTATCTCACTGGCATAATAAACATAGAAATGTGAATGCTGATTGTTCATGTTGTCTTGGTAACTTGAAATACTCCATTCCATTCTTGTTAAGATGTCCTGTGACAAACAGTAAACTAACTGAACACAACTTCATATATTTGTTAATATAATTTTGTGGGCAGCTAAGTAACACATTAAGGGTGGCTAAATAACAGGGCAAACCACTTTTAACTGAACTGTAAATACTGCTTGTATATATAGCATATATATCATCATATCATCATATTGCAAGTTCCTTAACAGAAAAGTAAGTGAATAAAGGTAAAGAAAGCCTTGCGGGGGTCTGTTTTGTCTTGTGATATTGAGAGATGAAAATTCTTAAATGAATATAGTTAACCTTTGTAACACTCTTATATTTATACTTTCTAGGACACATTAATCATATATGATTATGTTAACAATATTTCTGCTGGTACTAGAGCATATTAACCCATTGGTGCTGGGCACATACTGTCCTCTGTAGTTTTGTTTTGTAATTTATGTTTACACATATGAGGCTTAAGATGCACTTAATCACCATGATTCAATTATTAGGTCTATATGAATTTCCAAGGAAAGATATTTCATTTCTGGGTAGTACTACTATTATTATTATTGTTAGTTTTTGTTATTATTATTATTATTATTATTATTATTATTATTATTATTATTATTATTATTATTATTATTATTATTATGTTATTGTTATTGTTATTGTTTGTTATTGTTATTGTTAATAATCTTATTTTTTTTTATATTTTTTATTATTATTATTATCATCATTATCATTGCTATTGTTATTAGTATTGTTGTTGTTGTTATAAGTATAATGATTGTTGTTAAAACTATTGGCATTATTATTATAAAGCTTTAACAATACTAGTAATGACCTTGACTAAGCACAGTGTGTAAATGAAGTCTATAAACTAAAGTCAGAGTAGACTGTTAATCCATCTAATAGGTTGATTATGTTTAAGTAGATATTAGTTTTCATACCTAGAAGAGTGAGATCTTAGTGCAGAGATCATTAAGGCAGTG